TGTCGCTGCTGGTATGTTCTGCTTTGGCATTGCCCATTCACATCTTGGATTCCATGGTGCAACTGCTTTGGGATGGATGACACTTCAAGGAAACAAGGTGGCCGGAACAGATTTACAGAAAATTTTTTTATTAGAACCTCAAAAGTAAAAATTTTAATATAACAGAAGGGGTACAATATATTGCATATGCAATAAATTTTAAAACCCAATATTTAAATATAATTGCCTATTTAAAAATCTAATTTACAATTTTTTTTTTCAACTAATTTAAAAAATCTTGCACTATACAAATTTGTTAAAATCAATTTTATTTGGCGCTTAATATGTAAAAAATTAAATTTTATTATACAAAAATTAATCAATAATAATTGATTATATAATCTTAAATTTGGGGGTTTTTAAAAAATTATTGGGTGTTTTTTCCTGTCCCATGCTGTAAATCATAGATTTAATCTTTTTCTCATCCGATAAACATTGAATGCATAAAAAGAAATCATTATCCGGTATTGAATGTGGAATCAATAAGTCGTTCGGTATATTTGGCTCTTGTATATCATCATCGTAGTAATTGTCCTGGCTGGTCTCATCGAACTTTAATAATCGTTGATATTTAAGAAGTTCATGAATTGTTACGCTCCTACCTTTCTCTATCTCAATATTGTTCGAAAGTGTTTTACAATTCATTTCAACTTCTTTGCGAAGAACGTGGTCAATGTCAACAGCCGAAAAGAAACCAACGGACTGTATTACAAACATGTGGAATCATTATTTCTACGAAATTGGACAAAAAATTCGTAATACAGTCAACCTCTCTAAATGTATAACTTACTCTGTCCCAACTATAAGTGCAGCCAAAACCCTAATAGTTTTAACCAAGGTTACTGGATAATGTGGCTAATATAAACCAAAAACTACAATTTGATTGATTATAATTTTTTTAACCAACCAAATCTCAAGAAAATAAACAATACAACAAGAAATTTCGATTCTGTGCAGGCATAATGTTATAGCATAGTTGTGGTTGTAGGTGAAAATATTTGGAATATCAAAGGTAGTTGCTACTTTATGTAGTAATGAAGCCTTAATTAATTATTACTTATATAAAAGTAAGTTTAACTTAACCTTTTATGTTGTCATAATTAAATGACAATAAGATGCCTGCATGTAGAACCTAAATAAAAAGACCTTAATTCCTCTTTTTACATTATTTTGTCATATGGCCACAAATAGGATAAATTTAGAGAGGTTTGACTGTATTTCAACCTACCAATGGTAAATCATTGATTCCCAACATGTAACTAAACATCGTTCTTGTCCATAAATTGCTGATTTGAAGTGCCAATGCTGCTCGATACGTGTCACTTTCTTTTACAAGAAACCTTACCTCATCATGAACTGATAGCATAAAACGCCCATCTATCTTATATTTTTTCAATAAATACTGCATGGAGACTAGAAGCAAATGAAGGTAATCAACCCCTGATGATTGTATAACCCAATTAACTCGTGATGTCATATAGTTTTCGTCGACCACCTTTCTCTTTAATGCGTCAGTTATGCCACATTTAAGAACTGGTGTTCGAGGTGTCTCAGCAGTTGCAATCTCTTCAAGACTATTAAACATATAGCTTTCACTACCACCGTACCAAAACGTCTTTCTAGGAAAATCATTAACATTAATATTTTTAGTGAAGAATTTTTTGCCTTTAGTCTGGCTGTATAATTCGGCTACCCGTGCAATAGCTTCACTTTCTTCAATGTTCTCATTAAATTGTCTAAGTAATTGTGCAGAAAATTTAAGCCCTGCACCATATATCCTACCATAATTGAATACTTTCGCATCTGACCGCGAAATTTTCAAAATCTTTGCAGTTCTTGAATGTAAATCTGTTCCGGCCACCTTGTTTCCTTGAAGTGTCATCCATCCCAAAGCAGTTGCACCATGGAATCCAAATTGTGAATCACCAATCAAACTAGCTATCCATAATTCTTCGGAGTCGACGTCTGCACCAACAATTTTATATCCTTTTGGAGCTTGAATTTTCGTTTTAAGTTCGGAACCGATACGATTCTCCTTTGTATTGCTTGCTGTCATCCATGTTTTTTCCACGGCGCGACGAGTGATCGTCCCCATTGTTAAAGTCTGCGGTAAGATCATTCCAATACTCTTTCCATTATTTGATTTAAATCCCATATCTTGAATTTCTGGATAATCGTTATATACAACCATTTGACCTTTTATCCGTTCTCTAGAACCAATCCAATATGAACATGTTGCATTCATTTTTAATGCAGCTTTAGCCTCTTCATATTCAGAAGTCAAAATCCCTTTTTCGAAAGCGGTTATATATTGTTTCGATAATGGTGTCGCACAGCGAGCATTCTCGCCATCCTTATGTGGAATCCGGTAATATATTCCATC